GCTCCTAACTGAACCAATATGTTCACAGATAAGATCAATAATATAAGTGTAAACCTTTGAAATTTAGATGGAAGTGGAAGCTGCCTAATAAAACTCTGGTGCTGAATTTTACACAACTTATACCAGTCTTTTAATTTTGTATTCAGGTCTCAAAGGACTAGAAGGCAAACTGAACACATCTGCAATTTTCTGGATTAAACTATTATAGTTTTACGTAAAAACTCTGAATGCACTTAAGGTTTATGTATTGTAAAGGCATTGTGTAATGGTTATTCATTTCATTTCTTTGTTAAGAGCCTTTATCTAATGTTGAAATTTTGAATTAAAAGTTTTATGTTTACACCTATTTAGTTGGCTCATTAGTTCAAGATGCAGTCGAAGGAAGCGCGATAGCTGTAAAGTATGTTTCATTCAACATTCTTTTAGAGCATTGGTATCTAACGCTGTATTTGTAAGACCATCGATTATCAAGCCATGTAAGTGCTCAATTCCTTTTGAAGCTTTTGAGAGGTATTTTAATTAAGTTTTCAAAATTGCTTTCGGATCATACAGTTCTTTTGTGCTTTATTTTTATTAACAAAATAGTAATTAAAATTAAATTTTAAAAGAAATAACCACAGTAGGTCATACGTTTATTAACTTGAGGTAGATAATGAACCTGTCCTATATAAAGACTGAGCTAAATCTGCTGAGAGGCTGTGGATAGTGTATTTTAATTAAGGTAATCCTTATTTGCATCTAACAAACAGCATTGCTACTTAGACATTTAAGACCCTAGTGATGCATATTAGTACATTACCTCAACATATCTAATAGAGATTTAATACTTGTGTTTTAAGAAGCAATTTGTCATAAATTAAGAGTATTTGCATAGTAAATTCCAAGGATATTATTTTTTTCAGAGTTTTCTATAATTAAGCAACACATTAAACATTAAAATTTTATAATTTTTGTAGTGCTAGGAATGCTTACTTTGTTATTAAACTGAGCCACATTTTCAGCTGCACATAACTCTATGGAAAAATTCTATTTTAATAAAGACATAATGAACGTACTGTCACTAAGGTTTTTTTCCTCTTAAATCTGAGTGATGGCCTATGTGTTTAAAGAATGTTTTAGCATGCAAAATGCAACTCAGAAGACATTCATTCAGTTGGATGGAGAGTATTTAATCATTTAAAAAGGAGGCCAAAGAGACTTATCCCAACCATACTGCTAAATACTTATGAGCTGCATCATATATAAATTAAGTGTTCTCTAATTGGGAGTATGGATAGAATCTTTCTTTAGTCAATTAAGTGTTTACAGTATTAGTATCTACTTTAGTTAGTTAGAGTAAAGGAATTAAAAAGACCATTTTAATTAAGAATGACAACTTTATTCTCAAGGTCCTTTTTATTTTAATGGTTAACAGGATAATTTTAGCATTTGCATCTTATTGATCCAGAGAGAATGATTTTATGAAATATACCTTACAAATAAGGCTGAGTTTCCCTGTGGCCATGTACATTTGACTTGTGGTGAAGGCCTCTGTCACTTAAACATCTTTACGTGGGAGTAACTTAGGTAGGACATGAAGGGCAAGATTCCTTTCCTACAAAGAAAGAATTGATACCTTGTTCAGTTTACTTTAGACTTCTATGTGTTCTTTGTGCTCATCATCTTCTCCCATAAACTAACAAACTCCCTTTGCCTTTCCAGCCAAGAGGAAAAGATCTAGAAAGTGTTTTCCCTCAGTATCTAGAGAGTTTGCTGGCTCCCCTTGCTTGTAGTAGTTTAAAAGATTCCCCACAGCAGGGAATGCAAGTGTTTAATATTCACTCAATGAGTGTGATGTTTCAAAGAACTAAATTCAGGTTATATGGGTGTGGGTGCTCTATATGTGGTCATTTTTAGTTCAGTTTGCATCAGTTTTAATAACAATGCTAAAATATTTAGATACTTAGTTGTATCATATGTTGGAGCCAATATAAAAGGTATTATTTCAAATTGTTTTATAAATAAGGAATATTATCAATATATTTATTATTCTTATGTACAATTGGCTAAAAGTATCTGATAATTATAATGTATAAAAACTAATTACATCTGAGAGATAACAGTAATAAACTGTTATTTGAATTCTTTCATTACAAGGGCAAGTTGAAGTTGTGGAAATAACAGACTGCTGAAGAGACTCCATTGTGGGTTCAAATCTCAATATTGTGATTCCTGGCTGGGTAATCTTGGGCCTTAATTTTTACATTTGAACATTGGAAATCACATTGCAAGGGTAAATATTGGCTCCCTGTTTCCTTCACTATCAAAGAATATATTGATTTGGAAACTCTAGTGATTTCATGGACAAAATGTATGGCGACTCTTCCTTCTCTGTTGTGTTTTGCAAACCATTCACTCACCCTTACCCCTCGCTATTATTTAAGAGTTGAAAAACCAAAGCCCAGAAAGACAAAATGATTGATTTGGGGTAAAACCCTAATTAATTAAAAAATAAAAATTAGTAGCAAAGATCAACTCATCTGGGTCACTCAGTTGTGGGAATGCATCAAGTGTTGCCATAATCCCCACTCCTTACTCTCTCTTATAACTGTCACACATGCCCAATGTTGAAGTTACTTTATTATTTCTTGTATAGTTTCAAGCCCTTGAGTAAATTTCCTCCTTCCACTCACTACCAAAATGCCAAGAAGAATCACCTATACTGACATTTCAGTTTCTTCATTATTCCATTTTCTTAGCCCCTGTAATAAGCTTGTCTTTTCACAAACATATTTAAAGGAAATTCCTTTCCAAGGTCATTAATGATCCTTCAGTTACTCAGTGAGGAATGGCCAAATTGTCTGTTATGTCAAAGAATTTACAACCCAGTGTCTTAGAGTAGGACTACTTTCAGGCTGTTTTGTTGTTTAGGTTGCAATTTTTAGATGCTCAGTAAAACTTGATGACTAGAAGCTGATCAACTAATATGCTGACTTGTGGGTGACCAAATCTGTCTTCTAATATAGCCATAAGAGCTAAAAATAGCACACAACATTTAAATTCTTATTCAGGACTGTCCATGTGTCCAGGACTGAGCACTTGCTCTTTATTAATTCATTTAATTATCACTACAATCCCACAATGTTGCTATTGTTACCACACCCATTTTACTTATGAGAAAACTGAGACACAAAGAAGATAAAATCGTCCACACAAAACTGTCATGGGACTGGAAAGCTGAGCTGGGCAATCTGATGCCATAGTCCAAGCTGTTGAACACTTTGCTATTCTGCCATACATATTTTGTAGGCTAAGGAAAACTGGCACAAAGATATGTATGGGCCCAGATCTTTCCTTCAGTATTTATTTTTTTTTCCATTTGAGGTAGCTCTAGTGGAGGGCATGCATGGGAAAAGATCGGAGAGGAGCAACAGAAGAGAGTAATTGGAGTCAGCTAGATATAACTGCGGGTTGGCTCTGCAACTCCCTTTTGTGACCTTAGGTGAGCTGCTGAAGCTCTCAGAAGTTCCTTCTCAGTAAGGGGTCATGCCAATACCCATACCATCTATATCATGGGCTTCTGTCTCATGTCATCTAAGTAGCAGATTTCTGTTACAGAGTAAGAGCTTTATATATTGTAGCTATTACTGTAATTTGTCCACTTATTTACTTTAGAGATGTAAGGAATCTCAATAGTACTCTTTGGCACAGAGTGCCATCATTCAAATGTTAAGGTTTGCTTCATTTTTGATATCTTGGTGACCTGCAATGTCCCTAGTTTCTATGATATGAGCTTTATAGTTGTGTTTTCAAGTCAGTATTATTTTTTCTTCTGGCATATACATTTTATCTCATGATAGAGTCATAAACATCTGTATGAAATTCAGGGCTCACAGCATTAATCCAAAATATCTTAATGAAGAACTGATTTGCAGCTAATCTCTATGAAAACACTTTGTTAGAATCAGTAGTGATTAAGTTAATTTTGAAGGAATAACCCTAACAGTATGTTTTCATTTGGAAAGAGGGGAAAGAGTTTCATTTTTCATTTGAATAAATCTTTATGGAGTATATACTATGTTCCAGGGTCTATACCTGGATAGAGTGAATATATTTCAAATGTTCACTTAGCAATTAGGCAAGGCTGTCTGTTACATTGTGTTAAAATGGATTATGATTCTGAGCCCGCAGGAAAGAGTGCTGGGGCTTGGGAGGGGAGGTGACAAAATTAGACTCTGTATTTGCTGTTCATGATGTAATCATAACAATCTATCCCAGATCTCAACCTGAGTCATGTTGTATTAGAATCTCATTGTTTTTATAAAATGCTTTGAAGATGTTGTTTTTAGATTATTTCCGTTCTATTATTTATGTAGATGCACACATATATAATATAATAATATTAATCATATATTATGTGATTTCTGGTATATTTTGCCTCACCCATAAGATTATTTGATACTGTTTTTGTATGACCAATGTATAGGAGTTTATCTTCAAAGAGAAGTTATTAATTATCTTCAGATACATAACAGAGATACAGTCTTTGCCCTTTAGGAGTTTGGAGCTTAAAACAGGCAGCACTAAGACCGAAACACCCTATAAATATCAAACAGGTACATAATTTGAATAAAACATTTTGTGTTTCCAGAAATGTCACTTACTTACCTTAATCAGCTTGTGTGCTAGTAATTTTTGCATCTGTTTCTGCAAAACCAGAAAGAACTAATGATTCAATTTTAATGGCAAAAGAGCAGAGATGTCACAAAATCATACAGTTCTTTAAATTTGTTTGTTCCACACATCTTATTATTGTTATACTCATTCTCTATGATTACTACACTAAAGTATTAACCTTTTAAGAAAATTCATTGCACAGTTGGTTGCAGTACTGTGATCTGCCAAATTATAGCACTCTGAATGTTTACAAGTCATCGAGATTCCCCAGAGGCTCTACCTAAATTCCCTGAAGGGAAAGAAAAATTAAAATCATTGTTTCCCCCTTCTGTTTTTGTTCACAGAGAGAACAGACTTGTTTGTCAAGAACAAACACACAGAGCTGAGAGATCAGGAAATGGTGGGACCAGGGAGCCAGCCTCTGCTTTGCTTAACACGATTGGAAGGAGTGACTCCAACAGCCAGTCACCAGGAGGCGTCTCAGTGTCTGGGGAGAATTCGTGTGAACTGTCAGCTGAAAGCATTGACAGCTTCCCATTAGTAATGAATTATGGAAATAATTTTATTAATTTCTTCACCTCAATCAGTACATGTTAGTGAAAGTTGCTCAACCAAACATCAAAGAACCATTGCATTTTAACCTTTTAGTCTTTTACCATGTAACCAGGAACAGCAAAGAAATAAATTAGTGTAGCATTCCTTAAAAAAAAAAATGCCTGGAGATAAGGAGTGGACATAATTTTTTCTGTTTTTAATTTAATAGCACGTTTATGGTTTTATGCAAAACCATTCACATTACATTTGACCCTCTGGGAGCTGCTTTTTTTGTGTGGATATAATTTTGAGTCTTTAATAATCCGTTGTTAAACCCAGTCTGAGTTTGATTAATGAATTGTGATGAACCAGTGCATTAATTTGCAGGTTTGGTCTAATGCCCTAAAAGGCTGCTTTGTTGCACGTTATTAATGCTCAACTCTTCAAGAGGAGCCATGGGGTGGCGGCAGTGTGTCCCGTAATGAACAAGCGACACGATTGAACAGTCCCAGTGATAGAGCTGTAGCTCTAGAAGTCACCATGGAGCTATGTTATTGAAAGAAAGAAAATCCTGATTTAGCTTAATGCCCTAAACAGGGGGCCACAGACCTCCAGCTCCACAGGTCTCCGGATGGAATTCAGGGGGAATCTGTGAATTTTGATAGGAAAAATATCTTTTATTAACCTCTAACTGAAATTTAACATCATTCAATTATGAATGTAGGTGACAACCATAGTATTCTTAGCTGTGTCTGTGACTTTGTCATCTCTGGAAATCACAGATATTTCCATAACACATTATAGAGGTGCAAGTACTTCACCATGTCATTTGTATTTGCTGCTACCTCAGAATTATAGTAAATATGAGGACAGCTGCCTGACTTATTTAATGTAATAAAGAAGTACATATATTACTATCTTGTTCATTTTTTAAAAAATGACTATTTCCAATATAACTGGTTTCATTTGTAATTTTATTTTAAATATTAAAAATAAGATTCCAAGAAGGGGTTTATGGCCCCCAAATGGTTAAGAACCCCCTTTCCTGAGTGACTGCTGTCTGTGCTGCCCCTTAGTGATACTTTGATCTGTTCCTCAGAGCTGTAGTTTCAGGAACATGCAAGCTTCAGATTTGTTACCAATGCAGCCATGATAGCAATGACTAAGCTGTGCAAATGTCATCAACTGATCAATTACTCCCCTCCTCACTTTCCTTCTCCTAAGCTCGCGAAGCTATGAACTGTTTGTTTTACACACTGATATTTCCCCAACACATATCTTATTTGACACACAGTAGGCACTTAGTCAACATTGAAAATATGAGTGACAGCTTTAAGTGAAAGTATTTTTTTTGCCCCATTTGAGTAAATCTAGGTTTTAAAATCCTTTTTTTAATGAAATAAAATTTTATATCCACATTCTAAAGAGTTTATTACATTATAAAAGGTATTTACAAGGCATTAGAAATGTTTATAGAAATAATATTGACCAGTTTATTGTTCAGCTGCTCAGTTTATCAGGGCACTGTTGATTCTCATAACTGATTTTTTCAAAGCATTGTTATAATTAAACGAAGAGAACTGGAATTCTCCAAAGACAAATATAGCGTTAGAGAGTTAGGAAAATCAGATTAAGTAAAAAGATGAGCCTGTGTGTTGGGAGTGCCATGTAAGTGTGTGGATGTGTTTGTGTGTCTCTCTGTGTAAAGAGATCCAATGTAGTGAAAGAGTCTTTAGAGCTGTAAGTTGCCTTAGAGATTATTTTTCAATTTAATTTAACAAGTATTGAAACTGAAGCACAAGGAGGTTAAATGACCAGTGACCTCCTAATTGCTAAATCCAATAAACTCTTCTCAGACCTTATCTTATTTGACCATGCTATTGCATTTTATGTTGTTTACCTTCTCCATTCCTGTGCATGGGCTGCTTCTGCCACTCAGAATGCCCTCCATTCCACTCCTCCTATCCTTGCCCCCTGCTCTTCTCCTAGGACAACCCATCTTTTAAGCTGTCCTGGTCTCCAGCCCTCAAGCAGAACTTTGTTTTAGTTTAGTGTTTCTCAGTTTTTCTCATTATTTTTTCCTAATAGCCTTTTCAGACATTTTCTCCCCTTAATTCTCTTCACTTTTCCCCTTGCCCCATTCTCTGGTGGAATTTTAATGCTGCAGATAGACTTGTATATATTTTTATGCATTGTGACCTTTAGGAAGGCAACAAACGCTTATACTATCTAAGATTTTTTTCCCCCTCAAGGACCACTTTCTCCTCCTTTGGGTAAGATCACCCTTGTTGAGAACATGTGCTCCAGTGAAACCCAAACGTCACAAGACTTTCCCCATCCTGTGGAATCAAAATAGGGTCACAAAGGGCTCCAACCTTTGCCCATTTTGCTAAGTTAAATTCCATGGGATTTCTTCCCTCCCCAGACTCCTCATGATATCTATCTGTTGTTAGGAAATTAGTCTTTGTTCTGTCTGCCTGTAGGGAGCCGGGACACAATATTGTGCTTCAGAATAAACTGTATAAAAGTCGTTCTCCTTTTTGCCCTTGGTCGTGATGGTTCAGCCTGACAGAGGGCCGCTGGTGAGCAGTGAATCTCAGGACCCTCTGTGTTGCTGCTGCAGCTGCCTGATGGGGTGGGAAAGACAGTCACTATCTCTGCTCTTGCTTGGCTGCAGGTGCTTATGTTTTCTGGCCTCGGTCTAAATATCTGGTAAAGTAATTGCTCAGCCAAATGTGCACTGCAGCAATATTTTGTGGTGATGTAACTCTTTCAACTCCCATCTCACATAGCCATGTTCTCTAGGTGCATTCAGGATACCAGTTTCAACTATCTGGATGCCTCGTAGTCTCTCCTGCCTTCAAGCTTGGCTCATGTTGTTTCATCTTCCTGGAATATTCTTACTTCTTCTTTTCCACTAGAAAACGCTACTCTCAGTTGCAATATCATTTCTTTCAGGAAGCTTCTTGGATGCCTGTTCAGAATCGGTGTTATTTCTCCTGTGTGCTCTGAAGGTGTCCTGGATTCCTAGGTTATTATATACAGATTGTTTCTTTGTGTATATATTCTATCATACTCCAAGTTCCTTGAAGGCAGAAAGCACGTAGGGTTGTCAGATTTAGCAAATAAAAATACAGGACTCCCAGTTAAATGTAGTTTCCAGATAAACAACAGGTAAGTTTTAGTATAAGTAGTTCCATAATTGGATATTTGAATATGGAACATACATATTTGAACATTTGAGTGCAGAAAATACATATACTAAAAAATATTCATATTTATATGCCATTCAAATGTAACTGGTCATTTTATATTTTATCTGGCAATCTTATGAACATATATTGTGCTTATTGTATTCCTGGAGCCTAGCACAGTTCCAGTCATCTAGAAAGTACTCCATACATGTTTGTGAAATGAATAAATTTATTCTAGATGCTGGAGACAAAGCAGTGAATGAAAACAAGAGTCTTTACCTTCTTGGAGATTACATTCCAGTGGATGAATACAGATGACAAATAAATAAGCAAAATATATAGTATGTCAATGTTGGTAAGAAGCATGGAGGAAAATACAGGAGAAAAGAAGACATAATAAGGAACAGTTTTTTTTCTCTCCAAACTGGCTCTGTGTTCATTTGTTCTCATCTCAGCTGATGGCAGTTCTATTTTTCCATTTGCTTGGATCAAAACTCTGGAAGTTATCTTTTCTCTTTCTCTTCCACCCCTCATCCAACCTGTTAGGAAATTATTATGATTTTTTACCTTCAAAATATATCCAGAATCTGACCACTTACCATTACCTCTACTGGTAGCTCCTTGCTCCAAGCCAGCGTCATCTCGTGCCTGGGTTATTGCAATAGCATTGCAAGATGGCGACCCTTCTGTCCTTGACCTTCTATATCCCATTGTCGACACTGTAATCAGACCAAGTCTTTTAAAGGTGAGTCAGATCATACCATTTTTCTCTTTAAAACTCTCCAGTGGCTCCCCACTTATTTCATTCTAAAAGATGAGGTCCTTAAAATGACTCTCATGGTTCTTCATGAGAATGCCTATTCCAACCCCGATTTCCCATCCTCCTCCTGTTACTTCTCTGACCTCTCCTCAAAAACTTTATCTCTCTAAGATGAGCAACTAACTATCTTGGTTTGCCATGCATTCTCCTGGCTTTACCACTGAAAGTCACACATCCGAGGATACCCCTGAGTCCCTGGAAAACTTGGACAGTTACTCGCCCTACAAACCACTCTGGTCATAGATGCCTTTTTACTGATCCTCAGGCATGTTGGACACACTCACTCCTACCTTTGGCTTTGGCATTTGTTCTGCTTATTTGGAAAGTTCTTTCCCCTACATCTGCATGACTGATTTCCTTACTACCTTCGAAATTTTATTCTGATTTCATTCTCACTAAAGCTTGCCTTGAACACCCTATTTCTAATTACAGCTCTCTTCTCATTGCCTCTTAACAGTGTCATTCATATCCCTTACCCTGTTTTAGTTTTATATGCATAGCATTTGTATACTTCTAAAACACTATAATTATTGATGCATTTATGCTTATTGTTTTCCTCTGCTAAACTGTAAGCCCCATGAATGCAGAAATCTTTGTTTTGTGTGCTATTTTGTCCCAAGCACCTAGAACAGTACTTGCTTCATATTGGTGCTGGATTAATATTTGGTGAATTAAACTGAAGAGGGATTGGAGGTTGTTTGGGGTGGAGGGAATTTCAATGATAAATAATGGTCATGGAAGAAGGTGCTAATGAAGAGACCTGCTTTGTGAATCCAGGAGAAGAAACAAGGAGAGGAAATGGTGAGTGCAAATGTCATGAGGCAGGAGTGTGCCTGGCCTGCCTGGGAAGAGTGATGAGGCAGTAGGGCTGGAGCAGAGCAAACACAAGGTAGTGATAGGAGGTGGTATAGGAGAGGGGTTGGTGTTTCAAATCATGTAGAGACCAAGATTATAACAATCCTTTGGATTTCACTGTGCATGAAATAAGAATCCAGTTGGACAATTTGGTGGATGGAGATTGGTGACATGATCTGATTCAGCATTAACAGTTCATCCGGTGGCTGTATTGACCAAAGACTACAGGGAACAAGGGCAGAAACAGGGAAAGCAGTCATGAAATTGAAGAGAGAGAGGTGCTGTTGGTTCAGACAAGATTAGTAGCTGGGAAGGTAGCTGGAAATGGCCAGATTCTGGATGTATTTTGGATTAAAGCCAACAGGAAATGTTCATGAACTGAATGTGGAATGTGAGAAAAAGAGGAGTCAGGAATAATTTCTTATCTGTTTTTAAGTAAACTTTTCCTTCAAATACAGCATGCATGTAGAAAATGCCCAAAGCATAAATGTGCAGCTTGGGGAATTTTTCACAAAGGTAAAACACTCATGTAATCACCTCCTCCTGCAAGACACAGAACATTACCAGCTCCTGAGGGGCCCTGCCTGTGTCGCGTCCTGGTCATCTTCCCTCTTTTCTCAAGTGACCACTGCCACTGGCTTTTCCCACTAAGAACAGGTTGGCCTATATCCATAAGTTTTAATATGTTATGTTATTGTCATTCAGTTCAAAAATATTTTCTAATTTCCATTGTGATTGCTTCTTTGACCAGTTTCCAAACATTTGTGGGATGTTTTGGTTACCATTGTTGTTTTTTTTTTTTTTAACTCGTTTCTAACTTAATTCTACTGGGGTCAGAGAATGTATTAATGGTTTCAATATTCTGAAATTTGTTTGAACTGGGGACTTGTTTTATGGGTCAGCATATGGTCAATCTTGGTAAATGTCCCATGTTCTCTTATTAGATGCAGAATTTTTAATATGTTGATTAAGTCAAGTTTATCAATGATACCATCTAGTTGATTGTTTAGTAAGTAACTGAGAAAAATACATTAAAGTATCCACT